GTGAGAGTCCTGCACCCTAACCACTAGACCACCAGGGGCCCCAAATGTTCCCTAGTACTGCAAATAAAAATATAATTTCTTTGCATCTGTCAGGAATCACTGACTGAATCATTACACTGCTCAAACTAGGAAGTGTGTAATAGCTTTATAAACCAGAAGACTGAAAACAATTATTCCCCAGCTATCTCCTCCCAGCTTCTGGTAATGGATGAATTAGGGAACTCAGAGGCAAATGCCTACACAAAATATCCAAACTGTATTTTTTGACTCTTATGTTGATTCTCATATTAAATGATCCACTCTGGGTATTCAAATACAGGAATTGGCTTAAGTGCTCATATTTGAATAATTAGTGCATAATTCTTTTTTAAAGATAAAAATGCAGTGTAAGTAAATACAAATATAATTAAAATATAAATACGTCATTTTAATCCTTTTGTCTCTATGTGTAAGTGGATCACAGCAGTTTGCTTTTCTTTCCACTGACCACTTCAATGGCACAGACAGGCCTGCGTGAAGCCACATCCAGAAGAAATTTGCCTTCCCCCTCACCCAAGAGATGCTATGTGTACATAACATGTAACTAAATACATGGGACAGGCAGAACAGAAAAAAAAAGGACTTGATGCACATAACTTCACAGTCATATACACAGAATGCAACCCACTGTTTTGAATATTCAAGCCCCACCCATTCATTTCAAATAGAGTGAATGGATGGCAGTGAAGCAGAAGTACAGAAAAAACCCAGCATTAGTTATGACAGTATTTTTCCCTTATCATTGCATCTTATTCCATCCAGATCTCAAAGAAATATCATACAACAGAAACAAATTCTCCATCACAAATTTACCTATGATTCTACCTCACATAGCAAGATCACAAGAGTAAATGATCTGTTGTTAACTGCATGTGGCTCTGGGCCCTTTCTAATGCATAGGAAGATACCACAAAACTCACGAGATTTTCTCCCTTCTTTAAAAACCTGTCTTTAGCAAGATCATAGAACCACAGAATGGTTTGGGTTGGAAACAACCTCAAGTCTAGTTCCAAGCCCTCTGCCATGAGCAGGGACACCTTCCACTAGAGCAGGTTGCTCCAAACCCCATCCAATGTCGCTCTGAACACTTCCAGGGATGGGCATCACAATGTCTGTGGGCAACCTGTTCCAGTGCCTCGCCACCCTCACAGTAAAGAATTTCTTCCTAATATCTGATCTAAACCAATCCTCTTTCAATTTGAAGCCTTTCCCCTGTGTCGTAGCACTAAATGCCCCTGTAAAAAGACCCTTTCCAGCTCTCTGGTAGTCCCCTTTAGGTACTGGAAGGCTGCAATGAGGTCTCTGTGGAGCCTTTTTGTCTCCAGGCTGAACAACCCCAACTTTCTCAGCTTGTCTAGATCAGGTGCTCCCACCCTCTGATCTATGGAGGCAGGAGGATCTCCACTAGCACAGCTGAGTGAGGCACACATACTCTGCATCATGTAACCTGATCCCACCTTTCCAACCCTGACTCCACAGACACTATTTTTCTCCTTTATTTTGCTTATCCCAGACACATACTGTGCTTTACAGTCGGCACATAGCTACAAGAATACAAATACTGCTTGACAAGACAACTCCATTTATTCTGCTGCAGCCAGGGAGCATGCAAGTAGAATTTAGCTTCCCACCTCCAAGGAAAGTCAAATTGTTTTTACTGCAGACCATCCCAACAACCATATGTTGTTGATACTATATATTGTTGACTCTTAGCAGAAGCTCTTTTGAGTGTAATTGATTTATGTGGCAGATTTGTAAGCATTTTAGTACATTACCTACAAACAGACACAAGGAAACAAAACAGCATGTTAAGCTGCTCATATGAAAAAGCAGCTGCAGTCCCACGCGCTTCTCTCTGTTGACACTCATTCTTTGCCTTGATTTTTCCTCTAACCAATAAAAAACCCCAAGCTTTTACTTGCTGAGTAGAGTTTTCCCATTGCTGCCCACATAAAATGCCAGCAAGATCATACTCTTGTTCACATGGCCAATGTGTATACCAAGTGGCAAGTACTAAGAACTAGGAGAAAGTCTAGCTCAGCTTCTTGATAAAACAGGACTCTCAATAGAAGCATGCAATACTAACTTTAAAATCTACCTCACAGACCTACTATTTTGGTCTGCAGTACTTGAATGTCATTTGGGATTCAATTTTCTATATATTGTGTCATGTCTTATGCTAATTCCTTTTGTGTAGTAAGAAAATATTGAGTTAAATCTTTGCTGTCTGATGTATTTTAAAGAAAGGAATCATCACCTGGTTTTGGCAGGTGCTTTGGGCTTGACAATGTATTTCACAGGCAGTATTCAATCAGTTGTATGTAAAGCTTTCTAAGTTGTTAGAAGATATTCAGTCAATCAAACCACTTACTTTCAAAAATTCTCTAACTCTCCAGCTATTATAGAAGCACTTCTCACACAGTAATAATATATTATTAGAATGTCCTAGAGAAGGGAGAAGCTGGGCTTTTTGCTGTGGTTTGTTTTTTTTTTTTAATGAATCTTTCATCTAGTTTCAATTGCACTGATATTATAATCTTACTTCCCAAGCAAGATTCACTTCCATTAGAATGAATATAAATGAAGAATGGAAAAACAAAAGAAATCAGAGGCATTTTCATTAATACTTCAGAAGCCTCTAGAGAACTACTGAGCTATTCTTCAGGGTCCTGTGGAGTAACTTCATTCAAGACTCTATATTCTCAGCTGTTGAATTACTTCTACAAATTATGTCATATTGTCATTTATACATCAGAGAGTCACAAGGAAATGAAATTAGCTCTGGTTCTGACTAATCCTAAATGGAAACATAAAGAATGAATTGTAAAAAAAGATAATGGTTCTAAGATAAGGAAGCACTCTTTAGACAGACAAAATAAAGTCAGAGCCTGAAAGGGAAAAAAAAGGATAAGCAGACAGAAGTGTCCACTTGGGACACTGGAAAATTAGTCAGTGAATACCCCTCAGGGAAACATTCTTTTTCACTTGCAGTGATGAGTAACTTACATACTAATAAGCTGCTTAAATGATCTTCAGATCAGCTTCAGTAGAGACTGGTAGGTGTGGTGGGGGGAAACAGTTTTCCCCCTGCAGTTATAAAATGGTAAAACCCCAGGGGGTGGTGACCCTTGAAGTTTTGAGGTTTTACCCAATGAGCACTTCTGCAAAATATAAACATATCACAAGCAGAACGGAAGTCACAAGGAACCCAATACAGATCATTGATTTCATCTCCCTTCTCCTTGCAGGACTGCCCACAACTAAACCATATGACTAAGAGCATCATGCAGACACTCCCTGAACTCTGCGAGGCTTGGTGCTGTGACTACGTCCCTGGGAGCCTGTTTCAGTGACCAATCAACCTCTCAGTAAAGAATCTTTTCCTAATGTCCCATCCAAGCTTCCTCTGATGCAGCTTCCTTCCATTGTCTTGTGTTCTCTTGCCAGTCACCAGAGAGAGATCAGCACCTCCCCTTCCACTGCCCACCTTGAGGGAAGTGTAGACTGCAATGATGTCAGCCCTCAGCCTTCTCTCTTCCAAGCTGAACAAAACAAGTGACCTCACCTGCTCCTCACAAGGAGCTTGTCTGTGCCTTTGACAATTTCTTCAAGTAAAAAAGAGAAATATGAAATAATAAAGGTAACCACTGCATGAGAAGCAGCTTTTTTCACATTAGAAACAAACACATTAAAAGCCTAAGTCAAGCAGAGTTGGTTTTATCCTGTTATTAGCATAACTATCAACATTCAGTAAAATCTCCATGTACTACATACCAATTCTACTGTATTCAGATTGAAAAGATGGTTGTTTCAAGTTATCCTCTACGTTTTTTTAATTGAGAAATATCATAGATAAGCAGCCACACAGTACATTAAGTTGCACAGAAGTACACTGAGCAAGTAAATACAACAGTTCACCACAGCATGCTGCCCAGAAGTCCTTTCTGACCAGGAAGTGTTATCGGACTGCATTAGTCTGATTCAAAGCACCAAAATATATTTCTGCTCCTCTTCCAGGCTGTACCCTCCTTGAATTTCACTGCAGACACAAAGTGTTGATCAACAGCTGAAATTGTTCTGAAGTACAAGCTCTTAGCAATACTTCAAATAATGTAAAAGATTCTTAAAAATACATTTAACAAGCAGAAGGAACATCCCCATGGAAACCAGAGACAGTTATCTAAAAGAAATGCATTTACCATGCAGTCATCCAAAAAAAAAAAAAAAGAAATGAAGAAATGTTGTTCTTTGTCAATTCATGGAATTCAATCCATTAGCTGGGTATGACATCCATCTTACATTTTTGTTAACATTAATCAGTGCATAATTGAATCAAAACAAAGTCCATACTCTAGCAAAATCCTTCTCCTCACAGTTTGCCTTCCTCTGCTTGCTCTCTTCCCTCCAGAGCAGGGTTCTAGTGATCCAGCCTTTCTAGCAGAACCCAGCTCCCTGCACTGCTACAGGGAAGGAGCTGGCAGCCCTCTCTATAAAAAAACAAAACAGGAAGCCACAAAAAAGGTTAGAAACTGGGCTTTAGCCACTACAGTTGTTCATCAAAAAAACTAACTGAAAAAGTTACAGGTTTGGTCAATATGATGAACGGCAAAAAC